TACATCATTATTTATTAATTACATAGTAATTATTTAATAGCACCAATCAAATTCTTTTATTTTATAATATAAAAATAGCACTCACCATAAATAAATCTTTCATCGAATTACGTATTCTTTAATGCAAATGCAAATGCACATGCATTACTCACCAAAAAAGAAGTTACACATTAAATGTGTTTCATATTAATCACTATATTGACTCCTACAATATGTCAAGTATTAAATTTAATAAAGACTGATATTTGTCTGGATATGATATCTGAAAATAAATTATTGGTCACTACTGGAAATATTGGTATCTCATACACTGACACGATAGTTTCATATTGGTATTTTATAGAACCATGTCGCTTAACGTGTATAGACTTAACGAATGTCCGTAGTTCAACAGTTGCCGCAAGATGTCTACTTAGTATCTTCTCATAAATGGTTATTCCACTGTCCGTTGTTTTTTATATACAATTTTTAAAATTGATTTCCATTTTCTATGTATATAAGGCAGAAGTCAAGTATAATTATATCGAAAAGTTTAATTTGTTTTTTTTTTTATGAAGGAAGCTTTATTTTCTGATCAAACTTTTCTTTTCTCTTTATTTCTCAGTTGCACTAATTTAATGCTAGAAATCCAATCTTAAAACTTGATAGTTCTAGATTTTAGTCAAAGTTTCAGATTTATTTTTAAAAAGATTCTTAATTAGTACCGAACCATTCTTTTATATTATTTTTAATTAATTATATCTTACTTATTTATTTAAATTCACATCATTTACTTATTTAATATATGTAACTAATATTAATTATGAATAAAAAAAAATTAATGAAGATTGAAATATTCTAGCTAAAAAAATAAGGAAATGAAAATTAATAAAATTTTCTAGTCTAAAAGTTAACGTTAATTATATTGAAAAACTTTAATATTTAATTTGCATATGTATATTGTAGCAATAATATCTTCTATTGTCAAGTATATTGTTAATGTACCGTATAATATTATTTCCTTTTCATTGTGAAAAGAAGAATGAATAAATATTTATATAAAGAAAATTTCCTGATTTCATTATCTATTATTTCATATTTTCTACATGCTCTTAAATCTTTTTTTAATTTTATATTTTTATCCTTTTATTTTTAAATGTTTTATAAAAATCAGAGCAAAATTATAAAATAAATATTATAATTAGAATACTCTATTCTTTTTACTTCTACTCTTTTACTTCTATTCTATGTTATTCTTTTTTACTTCTATTCTTTTTTAGTTTTATTATAGTAAAATAATTTTATTTTAGTTTATTATTTGAAATTTAGTTTATTATTTTACACAAATAATTTTTCATAACTTATTTAGCAATTATTATAATATAGTATACATAGCAATTATTATAATGTAGTTTATTATTCGTGGTAATATAATTATAATGATTTAAAATAACAGTAACAATTTCTATAATTCATTTTTTATTAATATTAATATGAACGAAGAATATTAAATGTGTTAAACATATATACATATAATGTATATAATATGAAATTTTAATGTTGTTAATTATATGAATAATTTTTTATATTAATAATAAATAACAATTTAATATTAACAACTTATAATTAATAGTATAATTAATGCATTTACATTTATTTGTGTCTATTCATTTCTTTTCATTTTTTACATTTGCATTCTTTAATATTGCACATGCATTTAAATAGAAATGGAATTTATTTACAAATAGATAAACTAAATGTAGAAGGAAAACAATATATTAAATTTAAAATATTTAAAACATTACTGTTTTCAATCGCATTTTATAATTCTATTTCAATGCAAAATGTAAGAGAAAAATTATTGTATATAAATCTCTATTTCATTTTGTAATCATAAATGTTATATTAACATGTAATATGTAATATTTGTACCACATACAAATAGTATTAATCAATGAAATACGTTATAGGAAAAATTAAAAGTGAAAACGGTGAAAGCAACGTTATACATGTCATATTACAGATATCCCTTTGTATTATAAAGCTTTTCCAAGATTCTACATTGAAGTACATAGATCTACTGATTCGAGCAGTCGAGACCCACGTGTTAAAACATATGAGAAAGGCAGCAAGATTGGCTTAGCTAGCCTACATCGTCTCACATCAGGATTCTCGCTTTCGATCAGATTTTTAGTATTTTTATTTGTTTCCTTTATTTTTGTACGGAAAGCAGTTTTAAACTAATTGTGAATTTGATATATAAATTTTATATGAAATATCATTTGTGAATGGAAAAATCGAGCTACAAAACGAAGGTTATGTTCGTCACGTGGTCGCAAATCAAGGCTCTCCTTCACTTTTTTATGGTACGCGGAGTAACAGGAAACGTCGGTTTTAATGCAGAAATGCGGAAAATTTCATAAAATATAAATATTAGTTAAATAGTTAACTAATCAATTATGGTTGAGTACTATGAAAATATTAGAATTATATTAAACAATTATGTAATCATAATAAAAATATTATTTATCAATGAAATTAATGTCCTTTCACATTTGAGCATAACATGTAACCTTATATAATTAAATAGTAAACGTGAATAATTTAGAGATATAAAAACTAATACATACATATGTTAAATGAAGGATTATATTTTGACTAACTAGGAGACCGTAAGGCTTTCGGGTCTGGGATTCGGCTGAAGCTTTGTACATTGATAAATTTTGATATTCTGTTCACGAATATATGCCATTATAAGGACATTCAAAGGTTTTTCACTTCAACTGCACTTGTACTTATTGGTAAAAAAACTTTAATTGCAAATATTTTGAAAACCTTTGAGTGTCTGTCCCTATAATGATATAATATCGAAATCTATGGATGTACGGGGTTTCGGCTGAATCCGAGATCCGAAAGCCTTGCGGTCTCCTTGTAAGCAGTATTGAAATTTAAAACATAGTATGTAAAATAAAAATAATCGTTGTGTAAAAGAAAGCAAATGCATAAAAGAAGATGAAAAATTGAACTTGAATAAGAATATGAATTTATTAAATTCAATTAATGAAGGACGTAAACAGCGAATTTAAAACAGCGATTAATGGATGAAAAATTGGGATGAAAAATTTAATACATATTTAACTATTAACATCCATTTAAAAGTAATCTACAATCTGAATGAATTATTTTTATCCTATAAACTCGATTTTATGAAAATTTGTATACAATTTTTACATTTGCTTGCAATAAAGAATCACATTATGTGTTGTAAATTACCTTTTACTCCTTAAAATTCATCCGTTTCGAAATTTCGAAGTCAAATTTATTTTCTTAAACAATACCATATGCATATTTTCTTTT